TAAGGGGGGGGGGGGGGGGAGAGGGGCCGCCAGAGGGCGCGCGGCGACCGTTAGCGACCGTTAAACGGCCGTTGGCGACCGTTAAACGGCCGTTCGCGCCGCCTGGCGGCCGCACCCCAGCACGGCCGGCGTGAGGCAGCGCCCCCTGGCGGCCGCTCCTTGGTACTGCCGGCGCTCAGCGGCATCCTGGGGAGCGCTCTCCCTCCCCAGCCGGTCCCTGTTGGGCTCCCAAAGAAGCCAGAGCGTAGGGTGGGGGGGGACAGCAGGAGAACACGAGGTACATCCCACGAAATGGGAAAAAAACAAACCACTCGCATCATCAGCTCTGCTTTATTTCTGTTCTGCTTCGTGCCAAAAATACCCAAAGGGCCGTCGTAACCCCTCCGGATATCACAAGTCACCCGGCCTCGGCGCGGCATCGCCCCAAGGGGGTCGTTAATCACCGTTGTAGGGGCTTCTTGAAGAAGACGCCCCGGTGTCCAGGTTGTGGTGCAGTTCTCGGGTGGTGCTCCGGGCTTCAGCGGTCATTCTCCGGAATTTCTGCAGGTAGACAATGATGAAGATAACCAGGATACCTTGGAGGAAAAGGAGGATGAAGAGGAAGAGCTGAGAGAGGAGAGCCAGGCTGCAGTACCAGTACTGGCACGTGGAGATGATCTCGTCTTCTGTCAGATGGGCGATGACCCGGTCCTGCAGGTGAGCTGGGGTGGCACATCTCACATCCCTGTACATGCTCCGGTTCTGCTGCCACTGGAGCCAGGAGCGCAAGTAGAGGATGTCACAGTTGCATTCCCAAGGGTTGCCCTGCAGGTAGACTACCTGGAGGCTCCTTAGGTTGTCAAAGAGCCCATTGGGAATGGAGGTGAGCCTGTTGTAACCAAGGTGGATAATTTCAGCTGAAGGGCGGAAAGCAGCTGGAAGTTTTGCTACAGTTAAGCCTTTTGAGGTGCAGTCAATAATGTTGGTGGCACACTTGCACGGCACAGGGCATGAGGCTAACACGAGTGGGAGGAATCCAAGGAGGAACAAGAGAATTCCACTGTTCATCTTCACCTGCAAACACTCCCCTGGTGAGACCGGGTGAGCCAGAGACCGGGCAAGTTGGCACCACACGCTCTGGGACTGACGCCACAGCCCAGCTCTTTTGTTGGTGCGCTCTGAGGATGAGTTGGGCGAGTTTGGTGTCCTTCACAGGAGATGCGAGAGCTCTGAAAAGAACAGAGTTAAAAGAGGTGTGCAAATTCTTGGTCTCTCATTACAGGAGAGGGAATGTTCCTGGTCTTCCAGCCCTGGAATGGAGGAGGGATATGAACAGATGGCTACGGGGAGGCTGAGCTGCAGCCACCACATGCATTTTCACTACTCCTCAGAGGTGTACAAGAGCCGCTTGTATTTTCAGCGTTATTGGAGGCGCATTACTAGGGTAGCCAAGAAAATCTATGTCAAGGAATCAAAAATTAGAATATGAAACTGCTCATGCCTTATCATAGCTCTGAATTACGTCTGTAAGCAAAGCTTTGCTCATGCAAACTGCAAGAGGAGATCCAGAAGTAAATTTAATGTTACCACAAGTAAAAAAAGCCTTTCCAGTTTTGAAATTCATGATAAATAGTCCTTGGCCAGCAGAGAGGGCGCTGACCACCGAGGGTGGAGGTCGGGGGAGTCTTCCAGGCTAGACATTGCTCCAGCAGGTGAATTATCCACCTCTGGAGCTGTGACCGTGCCGGGAGACATGGGCCAATGAGCTGTCTTTGTGTGGCAGCCTCATGCTCCTGCAGAACACATGAGCTGCTCTAACTTCTTTAGAAGAAGCCCACATACCTGCAACAAGGCAGGGCTTTTCTGTGCAATCTCTCAACCAAATAAAAAGGGGCGTGACCATGCCGGGAGACACATGCCAATGAGCTGTCTCCTGCTGAACACATGAGCTGCTCTAACTTCTTTAGAAGAAGCCCACATACCTGCAACAAGGCAGGGCTTTTCTGTGCAATCTCTCAACCAAATAAAAAGGGGGAAAAAGAACAGACAGTAGCTTTTTTGACTTACCGGGGTGGTTCAATCCTTGCTTTCTTGCTGGCTTCACACCACCAGAGGCAGGTCTCAGGGCAGTGCAGCCAGTGCAGAGTGTTTGCAGCTGCATAGCCCAGCTCCTGGACAATCCCCCTGCAGCTGGGTGGCAAGATAAGGGTCAGGCTCATCCCAGGGACACCTCCCACACGAGGCCTTCCTGCGAGTTTGCTGTGTGTCACCGGAAGCTGAGGCTTCGTTGAGCAAGTCTTCCAAGAAATGCTCACAAGAACATCGCTGGGAGAGATGCTGGCAGCTCTGATAACTGTGATTCTGGGCACACACGCTCACTCCAACAGAAACATCACAAAGTCTCAATTGCAAAGCAGTAACTCAAAATGCATCTGAACCTGGAAGGTGACGTTTCTGCACTACCTGAGCACTGTGGCCTTTGGTTTCCCATCTCATGAGGAAGACTGTATCTCTATCAGGCCACCAGAATTACATTGGGAAACTCCATTACTCCATTACCTTGTACCGTGCACATCGCACAGAGCAAGCTCAATTGCAAAGCAGTAACTCAAAATGCATTTGAACCTGGAAGGTGACGTTTCTGCACTACCTGAGCACTGTGGCCTTTGGTTTCCCATCTCATGAGGAAGACTGTATCTCTATCAGGCCACCAGAATTACATTGGGAAACTCCATTACTCCATTACCTTGTACCGTGCACATCGCACAGAGCAGAAATTAGGAACACCCCAAATGTGCTGATGTTAAGGGAACTTACGGTGTAAACAACAGCAGAATTTGACCCTAGCCAAGGGAAAATCTGATGCTCTAAAGAAAGCAATTAAGCTTTAAATTTCTAGTAAGTTGGAGCAGATAATTCCAGCTGTTCACCGTGGCAGGCAGGCAGAGTAGGAAAGAGCTCTTTGGCTAACAAACCAGCCCAGATTTTCCTGCAGGACCTGCTTCCACCTGGGAGCAGCTCGAGTACCGCAGGGTGAGTCTGCTCAGCAAACGTACCTCGTCTCGCGCATTCGGTGCTCCGTTTACTCACCACAGGAGCTCAGGGCAGGCACGGAGCTGACCTCTCCAGCCCTGCATCCAGCACAGGCTCAGCAACGCTCCTTCTGCTACTTACAAAATGGATTTCCTGGGACTGGCTCCTGCCCAGCTGCCCGTTGCTGGTTTAGACACTGCTTCTAGGGGAAGCTTAAAGACAGAAGAACTTCAAGATCATCTTGTCTAGCTCCTGACACAAACAGGCCAGCAATCCCATGCAGGAAGCCCTGTCTGGAGCCTGCTCTGACAGAATTAGATTAAAGAAGAAACAGCGTCAGTTTTGCTCTCTCCTGCCCATAATGTAGCACCAACACTGCTCACAGGGACTGGAAATTAAACAGAAAGAGGTTGGGTTTTTGAATGTATTTATTTCACTGATCAATTCAGGTAGTAAACATTATTAATAATAATAACAATAATCATTTAATAAAATGGATATGTTTTAAAAGGTTTCATTTTTCTTTGTTCACAATGACAAAATGTTCAAACAGAAATTTACAAAAAATATATATATTATAATAACCCAACAGATGGACAGGAAACAAAGAGCCTAGGAATGGAGCAGGGGGGGTGAGGAAGCCGCAGGGCAGGAGCAAGCCAGCGTTAGAGCAGAGCGGGGTGTGTGAGGAGGAGCAGGGAACCAAGAGTGGGACCCCCTCCGTCTCGGGGGGAGGCATGCGGGTGGGGGGGGGTGAGGAAGCCGCACGGCAGGAGCAAGCCAGCGTTAGAGCAGAGCGGGGTGTGTGAGGAGGAGCAGGGAACCAAGAGTGGGACCCCCTCCGTCTCGGGGGGAGGCATGCGGGGAGGCGGCGCGGCAGGGCCAGCACGGCAGCGGCACACGGGGGGCTCACCCACCATCCCCCCCAGTCAGGCACCGGGTCCCGGCAGTGACAGCCCCGGCTGTTGTCCCCACAGCCCCAGCTGCAGCCGGGGACACCGTGGAGGGGGGACACCAGCCTGCAGGGGATGGGAATGTGCCTGGGATGCAGGGTGGCACGTGAGGCTGAGGGGGGCTGCGGGAGGGGAGGTTAGATTACTGTCCCATCACACTTGTGGCTGCCAGAGCCAAAGGGCCAAGCTCCATTTGTTCAGGAGTCTCTTCTCTGCTTATGCAGCTCAGGGCAGCAGTTCAAAACATTCCTCCTTTAATAAACAGATGCCACCTTCCAGGACAGAGTCTGAATCCCTGGTGTCCCCCAAAGTCTACTCTACTCCCTTTCCAGACAGCCCCAAACAGGTGCCCTGGGCAGGGACCCTGCCCCCGGGAGGTGATGCCAGAGCACCCCTGTCCCTCTGTAGGGCTGTCTCTGTGCCTCACCCCTCTGCTTTTTTGAAGAAGTGCAACTTGACCCATGTTCACCAGCCGAAGGCATCAGCTCTCTGCAGAGGACAGACTTGTGACTATTGACTTGATGTAGGAGCCATGTGCTCTGAGCTGGGGGACCTTCCTCACCAGAGGGACAGGGTCACCCTCAGCAATCCTGCCTGTGGCCAGAGTGCCCTGCGCTGACACACAGCACTTCACACACAGCCCAGGGTGAAAGCTCTATGTCTGTGCTAAGGGTAAAGGTCTCCTTTATCTTCTAGGAATGGATGTGTTTGAAGGGGAACATCTCTAGCTGGGCAGAGCTCGTTTGCAGCAGAACATCCTCCTCACAGACAAGACTAGTGTAAGAAAAGAGAGGGGACAGGTACTGCAAGGTGTTTCCCGTTAGGTTAGCATGGATAAAGCTGAGAACTCAGAAGTCCTCCTGCTTTGGGCAGCAACAAACCAGCTCCAGAGGACCTGGAGGAAGCTGTTTCAGGCTGCTCCACTGCTCAAGCACATTGTGCAAGGAAAGGCTCTATTTCCTTCTTAAGCACCTTGGTCCTGTGTGTTACTGCAGACAAGCTGAACCCTTCCCCTCTCCCAGGCACTGCCACTGTCACTTATGAGCCCAATGCAGGGGAGAATGAAAGAAAAAAACCCAAACAAACACCAAAACCTCGTTGGTGACTGCTCTTGCCCAGCTGGCACAGTTCTGCCAAGGGGCTTCCACCCTCGCTTTGTCCTTCCACACTGCCAGGGCCTCTCCCCTGCCCCTGCAGCCCACCTTCAGCTCAGCAGAGGCTCTGTACAGTGAATAACTGGAACCAGCCAACCTACTCACTACTCAGACAAGCCCTGATGAGGACTCTAAAGCTCCACGGGGGGAAATCAGACAAACGCAGCACCTAATAACAGAATTTAGGGCCTGGCTATCCCTGGCCAACACTGTGCTTCCTACTCAGGGGGACCTACTGGGGCAAGCCAGCGATGGAGGAGAAGACACAAAGGGGAAAGGGGACAGAGGAATGGGGCTGGGAGCTGGAGGAGCAGAGGGCCCAGCCCATGGCAGCACTCCCTGGAGCTGGAGGGAAGCACCAAGTGTCTCTCCCTCCACCAGCCCCGGTCCCTGCGAGCGCGGCAGTGCTGCTGCTGAGACCTGCCCTGTCAGGCACATGGCGCTCCGGGGCTCTGCTCGGGCTGGAGTTAAAAATATTGCAGGAAGCAAGAACAGGACAGAAAAAGAGTGCTCTTATCTCTGCCCAGCAGATCCACCAGCCTTCCCAGCACCGAGACAGGAAAAGCCTCGGACCGGGGAGGGGGAGAAGGGCTGAGTCCCAGGGGAAGGGCAGGGGAGCAAGGGCCATGTCTCTGGGCTGTGCTCAGCTCCACGCAGTGATGCTCCTGCACCTGCCATGGTGACCAACACCTGCCTGGGGAGGAGGTTTGCAGGTCTCTGGTACAAGTCTAAAATACTGCCCCTTTCCCCAGGACAAGCTCAGAGCCAGCAATGAGCTTCTGGGACTGCCAAGCCTGGGGGCAGGACACAGCTCTCCTTTGGGGGTGGATTTCAGCCCGAGGGTTTCTACCCCTCCAAAGCAGCCCCAGCCAAGCCCTCTGGCTGCCATGGGGCTTTTCAGACAGGCCACTGGAGACACGGCAGCTGGATGACCAGAACTAAACCATGAGACACCAGCTGGCCCCGGGGTTCCTCCACCAACACCTCGGGCCTGCTGTGGAGGGAAACCCTGGCTGGGAAGATGCTCACCCCACCATCTCCTTCTTGCAGGAATAGTCAACAATTCATCCTCTCTGCCAGAAAGACATAACTAAGAGCAGTCAGAGCCATTTTCTTCTAACTGACCTTGATAGACTCATTTCCTTGCTGCTCAGTGCAAAAACTCTGGAGTTTCTTGGCAGGAAAAACAAACTCAACCAACTAAACAGAAAACACTCCGAAAAACCAAGCAGGAAGCCAGGCAACCATCAGGACCCCGAGCAGGTCAGTGCACAGAGAAAGCCCCAGTCCCAGCTCTTTGGGCCAGAGCTGGCCCCGGGGAGAGGAGCCCGAGCAGCGCAGGTGGAGCTCACAGGAGGGTAGGGCTGCCTTCACAGCACTCGTGCTGGCCCCAGACAGGGGGAACGGGGAGGGGACACAGCACCTCAGCTGGGAGTAAACATTTACGTGCATTGACACAGAGAGTCTTCAAGTTTGTACACCAGAGACACCAGGACTTTAAATACCAGAGCATTCCCAAACAAGAGATTAGTACATGGGAAAGGGAGATCTTTTTCTTTTCTTTTTTTCTTTTTTGGGATGCCTTTGAGACTTCCCAGGCTATCTTCTTTAAAAAAAAAAAAAAAAAAAGAAAAAAGAAAAGAAAGAATAATTATTAAAAAAGAAATACACATCAGTAAACTGTTAAGTGAACAGCCTCCTCCACAATCCAGCTGACTGCAAAGCCAGCATTGCTGCTAATAAATTAGAGGGTGCGGGTGCAGCTCTTGCCCACAAGTCTCTATACAAGGGGAAACCTTTTCCAAACGTCCACAGCTCTTGCCAGGCCTCAGACGGTCACTGGGGATTCCCTCTGCCCTCCGAGTACCTGCCTCTCACTGATCCTGCATCTGCTGCTGCATCTTCTGCAGCATCTCTTGCATTCGCCGTAGCTGCGAGAGACAGAGAAGAGACAGTCAAAACGGGACGTGCTGTGGCTGGAGCTGGGGATCTGCTCGGGGCAGACAGAGGGAACCCTCAGAGAGCCAGAACTCCTGCCCGAGTACAGGACAGCCGTGTCTGGGGTGGAATGGAGCCACGTTTCCCTGGCAGAGAAAGCCACAGCCTTCACACCCTGTCCCCGACACCAGGAGCCCACAATGGTAGGAGGTGGGAGTGGGAAGCCCCAGGACAGCCTCTATGGGGCAATCCTGGAGAAATTCCTCAGATTCCAGCTCCAACACCAAGGAGGCCCAGGCAGAAACGGGTCTCACCTCCTCATCCTTCATTTTGATCAGCTTCTCCGTCTCAGTGTCCGGTGTTGGGAGAGGCAGGATAGGAATTGGGCTTTCTATCCTGTTGTCCTGAGTCAGTTTGCTAGAGAGACGGAGAGGGGAAGAAAGGCTCAGGTCAGTCGTGGCTCAGGCTGGCTTTGGTGTCACCTCACAATCGATGGCGGTCACTCATGATGGCAGACCTGCCAGCAATGCAGGGTGGAGGGCTGGGGGGTCCAGAGGAGGGGGGTGCACTTGGATGCAGAATGAGACCAAAGCCAATAAGGTTTCCAAACCAGAAGCTTGTGGGTAGCTAACAGAGAACCCTCACCAGGCTTACCCTGACAGCAAGTAGAGAAAGGGCCAATGTTTCTGACCGCCTTTTGTAACTGTGCTGGCAAGCTTAGCAGAGACATTTACAGCCCGTGTATCTGGTCTCCTTTGGCTCATCTGTGCATGTGCCTGCACCCATACACAGCATCAACACAAACTGTCAGCATCCCTCAGGCACCACATGCTCACCAGGGTCCTTTTTTTCCCAGGAAGACAAAGCCAGGGCAGCAGTTTAATCCCCGGCAGCCTGAGAGCAGGGCTGGGAGACAAGAGACCAGGCACAGCACAGCGGCGCTGCGAGGTTTCCCAGGAAGACAAAGCCAGGGCAGCAGTTTAATCCCTGGCAGCCTGACAGCAAGGCTGGGAGACACAAGACCAGGCACAGCACAGCGGCGCTGCGAGGGGGCCTGGGGGTGCACAGGAGGGCAGGCAGGGGACAGAGGAAGGAGGAAAAGTCCTCTGACTTTTGGAACTTTCCTTCCAGAAGTCAGAGGAGCTCTCTGTAGGCGAGGAGCTGGTGGTGCCCAAAGATGTCTGGGATGAATGCGGGAATTCAAGACGCCACTTGCAGGTGCTCACCACGTGGAGTCACCATTGGCTCATTATTCAGACAATTCCAGCTCTGGAGCTTGTGATCTCCTCCCAAAACGTCTCTCTAGAGAAGGACTCTTATCCCACCACTAAAAATGGCCACGCTCTGGTTTTACGAGACTTGTTCACTGGCAAGGAACTAGCCATGGCATGAGAAATGGTACCAAACTTAAGCTTTTCTTAAGCTTATTGCCTTTTTCTTAAGCAACTGCATTTTCATTGTGCTCTTCTTTTAATAGCCACACAGCCTACCTAAATAGCAGCTGTGACACTTCCCACAGTTCTCTAGCATTTAACATAGTTATTTTTGGACTCTGTCTTCTCAGTGTGCAAAAAGCCAGGCTCGTCTGCTATGCAAAGGCACTGAGATAGGCTGTGTGTGAGCAGGATGTGCCAACCTGCACGTTTGCACACACGCAGGACTGTTCCCTGGTGAAGCACGGCCAGTTCTGCTCTGACACGTGGCAGCACAGAGCCACCCGGCCAGTGCAGGCAGGAAGCAAAGGGGGTGGTTTACAACAGATGAGCCAAGACCTACTTAAACCTAGAATTTGTCACCAGTATTTCAGCCATGGAAGGAAGAAGGAAAAAAACCAGAGGTTTCAAATGAGAAGCCCGAGAGTGTTCTCTCTTCTATTTTCTGAGCATTGTGACTAAAAACCACAGAGAATCAAATGCAACGGGAAGACAATGAAGAGAAATCTTTGGAGATTCATTATGAGTCTTGATAATTGCCTGGGCTCTGTTGCCTGAGAAACAGCAGCATCCCAAGGGTCAGGCTGTGATTTGGACAGAACTGCAGCGTGCAGAATGCCTTGCTCCTTGGCACCGCACTCGGCTCTCCCCCACCAGAGAGACGCCTTATCCCTGTTGCATTAGGCTGGATGTATTTCACCCAGTGCTGGGAACAGCTCTTCAAAAGACCCTCGGGGCCTGTTCCCCAAGATCTACATGGGGAATCATCAGACAGGAACACGGACTCTCAGAAGCACCCCCACCTCGGGTTCAGGCTGTGGGAGACGTGCTTGGATTTGCTATTTCACTTCCCAGAGACATTCCCCAGGCTGCAGCCCAGCATGTCCCCAGCAGCCCCACAGCCTCCTGACTGAGGGGCCATTCTGAGAGCAAGCCCAGCCCCACAGAGAGCAAGACACCCTGCCACCTCTGCTTGAAGCAGTGGGGACCCACCTGGTCATTTGCTGGATGCACTGAGCTCGGTAGTTCTCATAGTGGACATCGCAAGTGACGTCCTTCAGGTCATGCATGTGTGTCCGGATCAGCATGTTCCGCAGCTTCACGAAGTCGCAGTGTGCCTGGTTTTCCACTGCGGAAGCAACAACAGGAGAGTGCTTGGACATCGCTCCAGCCCCCTCCAGGGAGCCCCTTCCCACCTCCCGGCTCCCAGCCTGGACCAAAACTCCCCCCGGGGTTCCTTCCTCATCCTCCCCTGGTCCGGGCGCAGACCTCCATTCACACCTGAGGCTCTCTTCTTCGGCCTGCCATGGCTTCAGGGGCAGGGTGACTGCTACACCCCCAAGAGACCTCCTGAGCCGGTCCCAGTGCCTCTGTCCCAACCCTACCTTGTCCCCCGCCATGTCCCAAAGGTGGCTCAGTCAGTTGTGGCCATGCAGAGGTCAGGTCCCCCTTCCATCCCCATCCTTCCCCCATCCCTGCCTGCCTCTCGCTCACAGCACCAGCCCCCAGACACCACACTCACCTTCCACGATGCCCCAGGGGTAGAGCCGCCCACGGACTCGCTGGCCTTTCGCCTCCACCACAGTGTTGCTGCCGATGACGGCAAAGGGAGCGCTCTCCTGCAACGAGAGGCACCGCGGAGCCCAGCTCAGCCACGGAGCCCTCCTGCAAGGGCCAAGCTCAGGCGGAGCAGGAGAGGAGGAGGAAGGTGCTGGTAGGAGAGGCACAGAGACACCCACATGTGCCACAGCACAGGACCCACAATGCAGCCACAGAGAAAAGCCTAAGGCTCTGGGATCTGCAGGCAGCCTAATTCCCAGGTGTGGAGAGGGAAGCTGTGTTGCTGCAGGTGCCTGTGTCCCTTCTTTGAGGGCAAACTCTACAAGGAAGCCAGAGCAGAGGCTGGGACACAAAGCAAGTGGCACAATGTAGGCAAGAGCTCGTGCGGGCAGGGATGTACAGGCTGTGCTCCTCTCTGCTCAGAATGGAAAGATTGACACTGCCTGGTGGGACAGCAGAAGTGCCATATCTTCATGCCACACTTGACTTCATGGCACCAGGCAAGGACATCAGCACCTTCTCCAGGCCATCTGCCACGTGAGCCAACGCAGGTCCCCTGGGCACCCCTAGCACAGGCTTTGGCACAGTAAAGCCTGTTTGCTCTGCCTCCTGGAGCAACCAACATACCCATGAGCCAGAACTGCCAGGTCCCTTACCTTCAGCTCTCTGTCTTGCTGCTTGAACTCCTCATCCTCATCAGAGTCACACTCAGGAAACTGGTACACTTTAATGCCAAATTTGTCAATCTCTTCCCGGATCTGCATCCATGCAAGACAAAACCAAAGGATGCAACACTGAACATTACAGAAATGCTGGCTTTTTTCCCTGTTTGTGCTACCACGGGTTTGCTACAGCCCACAGATGGTGAAAGGATTTGCTGTTTTTTCTAGAGCTGGCCTCTCTGCAGACACCACTTCCCTTCTCACAGCAGAGCACTGCTGCAATTCGATTTGCAGGTACTGTGTATATATATATACACACACACGCTATATATAAATCTATACAGATATATATATCTATCTCCCCTCTGTACTCAGCCCATCCCTGCCACCACATCAGGTACTTCCCCCGCAGAGAAAGAGCATCTCACCCTCTCCTTTAGCTTCCGGATCTCGGAGGGGATCAGGCAGTCAGCTTTGGCAATCAGGGGCACGATGTTGACCTTCTCGTGCAGAGCCTTCATGAACTCGACATCCACAGGCCTCAGCCTGCAGCAGGGACAGGGAGGGACATGGTTAGCAAGGACACAGAGGGCAGCTCCCTCTCCAGCCTCTCCCACCCACCCAGCAATCTGGGCTGGGAGCAGGGGCTCTCACCCGTGCCCAAAGGGCGAGATGAAGTAGAGGCAGCAATGCACTCGGTTGTCCTGGATGTTCTTCCTGTTCAGGCCGCTCTCATCGCGGAAATACTGTTCAAACTGCTGGTCGATGTAGTCGGTGATGGGCTTCCAGCTGGGAAGGGCAAGGCAATCAAAACAAAATCATGTGTTTAACAGGACAGTGTCTCCTGGGGACAATGAGGCAGCATCATCCCCTTCCTGCTGCCAGACACCCTTCCTATGAAGCACCCACAGAAAACAGACATGGCCAAGAACTAGGAAGATGGCAGCAGTGGCCTGCTCACCACTCAGTGTTGTTGACAGCATCTCCAAAGCCTGGGGTGTCCACTATGGTCAGCTTCAGCTTGACACCCTTCTCCTCAATGTCCACCGTGTGCTTGACAATCTCCACTGTCTGGTTGATTCTCTCTTTGAACGGGAATACGTGAGTTAAAGCCAGGCAGTAACGCTGGGGATCCCCGCTCCCACCCACCACAAGCCAGCTCCCTCCTTATCACTGAGCACAGGGAGGAACACGGGTTCCAAAAACCCCTGATCCTCCTCTAGGGAGCCTCAAGGGAGTGGTACTGTGGGGGCCTGAGACAGACTCTGAGAAGATACACAAACCTCTGAAGTGCTTGTAGCCCAGCTGTTCTGAACGTTTTGTCCACTCATTTGGCAAGGGGAAACCCTACCACATTCCAGCACCCAAGAACAACAGACAAATCTCAACATCTCAACCCAAAGGGCTAGTGCTGCTCTGCTTCACAGGAGAGAAGATCCCAGAGCCAAACCCTTCCTGCTGGAACCGCAATGCCTTGAGCCAGCAAAGGAGAGCAATAACAGGGCCGGGAGCTTACAGCCAGGGCTGCAGCTGCTGCTGGAGCAAGGAACTGAAGTCCTAGTCCTTAGGACAGCCCAGATCCGTGGGCACAAGAACCATCCACCCCCATTTGTCCCCAACTTACCCTCTGCATTGAGGAGCTTTCTGTCTTTGTAGAGGTCTGTCAGGAACAGGCTATTCACCAGCGTGGATTTGCCCAGACCCGACTCTCCTAATTGACAGAGCGCAAAGGGAGGAGGGAAAAGCAAGCAACATGACCCACTAATTGACTTACAAATGAAACTCTGAACAAGGCTTTGAATCCTGAGCCAGAGGAAGTGAGAGAGATGAGCTGTCAGAAGCTGTTTATGGGCAATACGTTTTTCCAGCAGTGGGAGGACTTTTGCTGCAAGATGTCTCAATCCTTGTTCAAATGTGGCTTCCCAGCTCCACCATTCTCCCTCCCCTTGCCCTCCCTCGGTCCCTGGCTGGCCCTGCCTTGACCACCCAGACCAGCCACTCTGCTGGAGGAGAAGCTGCTCTCGGGGCTCTCTGGAGCAGGCTACAAGTGGTCAGGGACAGCCTTTCCTCCTGGGGGAACGGTGTGACTGCACCAGAGGCTGGGGACAAAGCAGGGTCTGAGTGAGGACCAGAACAGAGCGAGGAGAGGACCCAGGCACCAAGGGAGCACCTCGGGGAGGTCAGGAGAGCTGGTCCCCTCCACACACCCACCATGTGGCCCGGCCACCTCCACCCACGGGCAATCTCACCTGCGACCATCAGGGTGAAGTCAAAGCCCTTCTTCACAGATTTCCGGTGGACCTGGTTGGGCAGAGTGGCAAAGCCCACGTACTGCTTCTCATGGTCCTGCAGGGCAGAGGTGGAGGGGAGCAGGTGAGGCTGGGCCATCCCTCCCGCTCAAGTCTCACACAGCAACAGGCAGCTGGACTCAAAGAGCCATTGAGGCAGAGCCCAGGGGTGGAGGAGAGGTCCGTCCCTGCCCTGGAGGTGCTGTGGGGCAGGGCACACACATCCTCTGGGCCTGGGGACTTCTACCCTTCCCACAGGAGGGCACGGAGGGCCACCTCCTCCTGGGCACAGCCCTGCTCGGCTGCTGTCACCAGCCAAGGTGGCAGCTCGGGGCAGTGTCCCAGCACAGAAAGCACAAGGGAAAGAGCACATCCCACCATTCCCAAAGAGCACATCTGGGGCTGCAGCTGACACACAACCTTCCTAACTCTTTGCACAATCGCAGGCTCCCTTCACCAAAGTCACCTCTCCCCAGGTCTTTTGGAGCCATTTCTGCCTCCCTCCCTCCAGAGGGACGTGCAGTGTGCGATGCACAGCTCTCTGTAACTACCACCCAGGGCCTGAGGTGTCCTGAGCCGTGACTAGAGGCAGGGACAGCAGCTTGGCTCCTCTCTGACCCGAGACAGGATTATTTCTTGCTGTGTCACAGCCACTCCTGGCTGAGTAAGAGGAAATCCTGAATAATCTCTGCTGTTATTTCTGAAGAGACGGAAGTTCAAGGAGCACAGGAAGACACAAAAGTACTGAGAACACAGGTGAGACACGTTTGGTGAGGGTATTACATATGGTATTACTGGAGCGTTACCTACTGCTTCAGCACCCCCAGACACAGCCTGCTGCTGTGGGTAACCGTGGGCTACAGCCCAGCTGCTCTGTCCGTCCATCCCTCCATCCATTCTCCAGCTGAGCACCCCTGGGCCTTCACAGCCCTCACCCCCACGGCACCGTGTTCCCCTCCCCAGGCCCCATCGTGGAGGGAGGGTGGGCACGGACCTTGGCAGACCCCTGCCTTCTCACATACTTCCCAAGCCGGACCCAAGGGGAAGCAGGCATTCACAAATGCCTGAGCTGGAGACATCATAGACTCTGCTTTTCAACATCACTTAAACTAAACACACCCTTGGGACTCACACCACAGGCAAACCCAAAGCCAGGAGTTCCTCAAAACCAGCCCCAGCTCCCACCCAGCCACAGAGCCTCCTCCCAATTTATGGCTGCTCTGGAGCTGCCTGTTCAGAAGGGACAAACATGGCTGGTGGCCATCATGGCCCATGGACTCTGTTCTTTAGCACGGTCACCGCCTTCTAGAAAGTTAGGTTTGGTTTGTGTCTCAGACCTGGTCACTTTGGTCCTGACAGACAGAGTGACCGTGGGCTCTGGTCCCCCTCACCTCACCCCCCGGCTGAAGCAGTGCTGCTTCACTGCCCCCCAGCCCAGAAAAGCAGGAAGGGACACAGAAAACGAAATTGGAGAGAAGTGGGGAGAATAAGAGTGCCCAAAGTGCTCCACTGGCAGCTCTGAGGGCTGAGCTAAAAGGCAGGGGCAGCCCAAAGCAGGGGCACAGGAGCAGCAGCCAGAGCCCGGGGGAGAAGCGATGGCAGCTCCAGTGAGCTGCACGTGGTAACGCAATGCCTGCCCGGGGGACACTGCCAACTGCCACCAACAAGGCTCCGTGAAGGGTAAACACGGGAGTGCAAAGCAGGGGGAGATATGGGATAACAGCAAGATGAAGAAAATAAGGAAGAAAGGGTCGTTTTCCAGCCCATGTCCCTTGGTGCCAGGGCTGCCTCCCGGCTGCTTTGCTTCCCGGTGACGCACATCCATGAACCCAACCGAAGCGCACACGTAACAGCCTGCGCCTCGCCGTGCAAGGTCCAGCGCTGCTCCAGGAGCAGCACAAACACACAGCACCTTCCCAGTGTGCTCCTCACACAGCCCAGCTCCGGGGTGGAGCGGGAAGAGACCTCCCTCATCTTTACCAGAATTTGGAAAGACAACAAGCACCTGCTCTCTCCAGTGACTTGACATGCGAAATACACTAGTGACATGCTAATAAAGCCATAGCTCAGGCTCGGGGTGTGTTTCTCTTTTTTTTCTTTGTTTTTTAACCTAGATGATTAAGGGCTGACAATGGAGACACTGGGGAGCGGAGCCCAGGTGCAACTCCGCTTACTTCAGCTGAGTGTAACTGGCTGAACTTGATCTCTTTTCTGTTCAGCCCAACCAAGAAAGTGTGGATTTTCTGTACTCCTGGTTACCTCCCCACAGCTCGCTGGAATCACAACGTTTGACATGAGGAAATCCTGGCGGGTGCAGGACGCTGCCCTTCACCCGTGGCTCATGCGGTCATTTCCCTCGCAGCAAGGAAGGTCAGTGCTGAGGGCAACACCAAGAGGAGAACTTCCCTCATGGGGGAGGCAGCCAGAGCACACGGGGAGAAGCTCTGTCCCCGGCCGTGCCTCCCTCCGACCAGCCTCAGACACAGGGCAGGGTTGCGAGGGTTACTGAAGGAGGCAGGTGGCTTTCTGGGTTGTTGAAAGCTAAAATCCATTAATTAGATGACAAACTTGGATG